AAAAAAAGACCCTATTTTTCAACAAACTCCTGTTCTCCTCATTGCTTGACTGTTTGGTCCCTGACACAGGGTAATGGAAACAAATTAGCTTTGTACATCCCTTTAAATCTCCTGCCCCTTTAGAGATAAGCAAGAATAGTGAATACATCATTTGCAGTTAGATACATGCCTGTATGCAATTTACACGGGGACTCTTGTGGATAAAATTATACAAATTTAAAAGGCTCTATGAGAAAAATAGGATCGAGTGAAAGGTGGACCAGGTGCTCACAGTTTTCACGTTGTTTTTTTCCGTACATAAGAAGAATCCTGGAGGCCAAAGTTGTGATAGTCGGAATGAGTAGTAACTGAATTTTCTTGTTAGCCTTTTAAACATGTGTGTTATTCTCATTTGAATGTGATTGTTAGTTTCATGGTCAGTTTATCTTGGGTGATGAAATGAAAGGCAGAGGAATAGAAAGAGAATGAGCAAGGATGAACAAAAAATATAAGAAATACCAGGGAACCAGGAAAAAACTCTTTAGAAAGAAAGCAAAAGAGTAAGAGGGGAGAGGAAAATGAAAATTGCATGTTGTGAGAAAGAAAGGCAGAGAGGAAATACAATGTGGATATACCGTATTTCATAGTTTACAACCAGGCACATCCTTTCCCTTTAAATGTGTACCAGGGAGAGATAACTACAGTAAGCCACATCACATCAACCATTATGAGAGTGCCATAGAAATTAACATGCCATTAGTTCATACTTTCCTGAGTCCGATGCAATTAAAGTTAATGTCTTGGTGAAGGTCTGTGGTAATTGAGTGAAAGGGTTACATGAGTTTGTGTGTGAATATGGCTTCAAATTAAGAATTGCAGTCCCGATCTCCTTTTTGGAGACAAGATATAAACAAAATAATATGACTTAAGCTGCCAGACACAGACAAAAAAGTTTTAAAGAACTCAAGGTCTCATTAGCCATAAATCAATGCCTGAGTGAAATGCACAGTGAACATGATTTAAAACATAAAAGGTAGTTATTGTTATAAAAGCTCATTATAGTCTGAAATTAGGTAATATGGGCTACCAGATAGCAGAAGGTTTTCAACATATTGAGCCTCATTAACTTTTGTAAATCAATGTTCAAGCTACTGAAATGTTGCACTATGAACTAAAGCATAAATGACACCTATTTCATATTTGGTATGTGCTGTGGCCAATATGTGTTTTCAACTTCTGTATCTTCTCTATGCTTTTGCTCCAGTATCTCAATATATCTGTGAATGTTGCACATAGCTATCTGGGCTTCATACATGCATTAATCATGCTCTATGGATTTTTATTATGGATCAATATGTGACATGTTTTAGCTGTTGAACAGAGGTTCAGATGAACTGAGCAGGTGGCATTTCAATAAAATACATGGACATTGACGTATGCGTGTGTGTTAGATGGAAAGCATCTATTAGCCACAGCAATGCTAATATGCCAGGTAAATCAACTGGGAACAACATTTTATCTAACGTCTTTCATCCACTGCTTTTAGTATCGGCCCAATCCCACACCCCCCCATCTTCAAATCACTTTGAATCAATGGAAATGCAGCACTGAGGCATTAAAGCTAAAGACAGAGTCCACTGTTCTGTATTCACAAAGTGCACCTGCATTTTGTGCTGTTACAGCCACTTTAGGAGACCATTTAGGTCAATGTCAGACACACACGTACGAGTACAGAGAGGAAAAGACACACTTAACATCAACAGTTAAAGGGAGGGCAATTATACAATATCAAATAAAGGCCCAGTCCCTCAAGCAGCCCAGGTATAATAAAAACAAATGATGTGCTGCTAATCTAAGTGAATATGAACTAGCACAGAGTGACAGTGCTATAGGTTTTCATGTATTTGTGTGAGCCTTGGCAGAATACAAGACTCTGTCTGTGTTGACAGAGAGAAACTGACACTAAGGTCTAAATTCACTCGGGTGCATATAAGTGTGTTTGTGTTTGGCCTCACCTCGTTGGCATAGACCCAGTGACTGTCCTTGGATGCCAGGTTGGTTTCCACAGCCTGCAGTGATAAAAAGAAAAAAAAAGAGGGAACAGACAAAGAGAGAAGGACATTTTAAGAACCTTGCGTGAAATTCTTTGTGATCTTACAATTGTCCAAGCCAGTCCCTCCTTGGGTATCTCTGGAGCTTAATTTGTAAATCAAGACCTCAATCAATCCTGGTCTGAGAAAAAAAACATCATGGGATGCATCAAAATCACACTGCCTGGAGCATATTGGACAAACCAGCGATTATAAATTATGCAATGAACAGACCTGCTGTATACAAGCTGAATATTTTTACTTTGGACGTGAGAAAGAAGCCTGAGTACAAATGCCCACTACTATGAGATTCACTTCATTAGCCATACGGATTTCACCTTACCTTATAAAATAGATTTTGAATGTGAAACCAGGATATAAATCTGTCTGTGGCACTAGAGGGTCAGATCTGAGAATAACTAAAGTACTAATGGCTTGAGAAAATAACAAATTAGGTGTTAAGGCTCAGATAGACTGACATATGTGCCAATGGCCAACAGTTTATCTATCACAGCTATCAAAATTTGTTACCATATCTAAATAAAATGTGGTCACGATTTTAGTATTTATTTTGGAACCATACCTATTTACTGTAAGGACAGGCTCTTTGGTGAATGCACAGCTTTTCTATATAGGCAACGAAATTTCTCCAGCAATACTTGTGAGCCTACTGGGTTTCGGCTACTGGCCTTCACCAATCTGAAGATGATGATGAAATGTTGATCTGACAATAAAGTTTTGACCTCTTTTTCTCTTCTCCAAGAATTCATACTCTGCTTCTACTGTTTGAATTTTAGTTTCTGTTTTTAGTCAGACATGAATACAGGGATGAACCTTGCGTAATATTCTCTCATTTCAACCCTGCCGCTCTGCACAGTGATCTTTGTCAGGCAATTGTACAGCAAAAAAATCCAGGAGATGCTTTTTCCAGGAGAAAATCAGGTTTCTCCACCCCAATTACAGAAACAGGGTTTATTGTGTGCATGATGTTTAAGAAATCAGGTCACGGCAGTAATCTGGTTACTGAAGTGCAGGAAAATGTACTGAATGACCTAAAACCTCTCAGCACAGGTGAAAATAACCCCCATTGAAATTATCGTAAACGGTCCATCTCATTATGGACTTCCTCCACCTGTCATGAGAGTGCACACATTTGACATCTGTCATGCTTAATGTCTCAATGCATGCTCTCTCCTGCAAATTGCTATCATTAGTGTCTAAATAAATCTGTTTCACACAAACCAATGAAGACTGATGTCTCAACATATAACAGACGGAACCCTGCTGCATTTTTACTCAACAACACCATGCTCATCAATAATAGCCGGCGCAGAGCACAGCACCAAAAGCTGCCAATCGATCTTCTAACCTTGGAAGAGTCATGATTTGATTTTAATGCTCCTCTCATTCCAGATTGAGCTCATCAAACTGCAAGACGACCATACCAATGCAAGAGCAATATTTACCTCCATGGTTGAAATGCCACGTCTCATGCTTAAAATTAAAGAGTGGGGCCATATGCCTTCAAAAATTGCCCTGAAATTCAGATGGATAGGCCAACACTATCAATGGATGCTATATAACACCAGACAGATGCTAGACTAGACCTGTTGAAGATTTATGTAGTAAAAGTCACAGGGACTATCCTTCAGTCCTCACCAAAGAAAGTTGATCAGCTCTTCTAATGTGTCTAAATGTGTGCTTTTGTGTTTGACAACAAGAATTCTGAGCAATATTTATTGTAAATCATATTCAGCTCTTAATTTGAATTAGAGATCAGTGTACAAATTCGATCAATATCTTTATAGCACAGGAAAAGTACCACATTTCAAACTTGTCCATAAAGAGACTCATAGTTGATGCACAGTGTGCTCTTCCATTCCAGCTATCAGAATACACATGGTCCATTAGATCCACATTGTCCACGATGCACACCTAACTACATGGGCCTAAAATGAAAAATAATGATCATGTGTACTTCTATCAAGGGTTGGATCTATTTATATACAATGTTGGTCCTGTAGTTAATATTGTTAATATGGGCATTTATTGTACTGCAAGTGACATTTAAAATATTATAAAAGTAGAGATAAAGGTAATATTTCACTAATGTGTTACACAACCCTGGGCCTGTGCATGCGTGTGCTTACTTGTGTGCAAGGTGTGGAAAAAAGCAAGGATTTGGAGAAAAATGAAGGCTACAGTGCTCAGAGTTGTAGGGACCACTTAAGGCAAAATGAGAGTAAAAAGAAAAAGCAGAAGCACATACAGTTAGTTTCTTTTTAAATGTATCAAATGTAAACATTATTTTATTACTCTATTCACTATTTCAGTGGAAGTGGCCATGATAAAATATCATCTTTTTGTAAATGGGGTAAAGCAGATTTTTCACATGGATAATTTACATCCCTGAATAACACAATATTACTGTTTGCTTTGACAAGGGAAATAACTTGACACATTATTTTATCAGTCAAATACTGCATGTGAAACTATGACCTCACAGACACAACGATTCACAGTGAACCTTTAGGTTAAAAGCAAAAGACCATTAAGGGGTTCCTGTAATCTGTATGAATGGAAAATATCAGCTAAATCCTTTCATGTGTGAGTAAGCCATTAATTCAAATTATGATAATGTCTCTCCAGTCCTAAATAAAACCTGACAATGAGAACTATTGTCTGCCTTGAAGAATAACCTTGACATTCAAGAGAGACGACAGCTCCTTGAGCTACATTCATTGTTCCAGATAAAATCTGTCAGATGCCATGATGGTAAAAACAAAGTCAAGTACTGTAGTGTGGGTTAGTTAATGTGCACCAGCTGGGATGCAATGTTTTGTTGAAGCTCTGGGCACAACAGAACTCACCACTTGAGAGGTTCAGCCCCAGTTCACAGCACAACATAACAGTGACAACTTTAGACACTCTAGAAATAAAGCCTTATTAAGATAAATTATGTTTGTGAGCTGCTGCTTAACCTCGCTGCTGTATGAATGTAACACACTGTGCATAATACTGAAATGTTTGAGAGCTGCTCTAACAAACTGAAGACTGCTGAATTTATAGGTGATCAGTGCGAGGTCAATCTCTGGCCACCGTTTTCATTTTCTCCAACATCAGTCTAAGAAAGTAAAACGTAAGAACAACTACTGCTTTGAATTTCAAAGGAATAAATATATAGTCAAGTTAACAGAACAATTAATTAATATAATAAATTAACATTCAAAGCTTGTTTTGTTTCACCTCTAATTATGAATTCGCCATAGTTCAAAATGTGAAATAAGATTTAAAATGAACAAAGCCTGGATGCTGTGATCTCAGAGATATCACAAAACATACCGTGCTTACAGTTCTTTAGGGAGTTGCTAATCAGGATTTAAAATTTGCTTCTCTTAAATACAAAAGCCCCTTGTGTCTCTGTACAATTCCCACATTATTTTGCCTAATCAGCCCTTTTCTAATCGCCCATAGTCCTATTTCAGTTGAACTAAGCCAGGGTTTTCCCCTTTGCTTAACATTTATCACACCAAAGCCTAAAAATCCATTTGAGACCTTAAATGTTATCAACATCCAGACAGAGTAATTTTTGGCTTTATGTGTATTCTTTCTTTCCATTCACTTCAGGAGATGATGTAACAGTGAAACTCTGGAGAGCAATGTGGTTTTGGAGAAGGATGCATAGACGAGAGCCTGGAGTGACATCTGAGGAATATTCTATACTGTTCATACAGCCAAAGCCTGGCGACAGTAAGATCTCCAATCAGAGAGGCAAAGTACCCCAGGCATGTTCTTATACAGTAGCAATGCCACAAAGACAGCCAGAGATTGCCAACTCCAATTTAAAACCGTGACAGCTGAAAAGGGATTGAAAGGAATTGTAGTTAGAAGGATGTGAAAATAGGTGGGGGGAGGTTTAGGCAAGCCTCAGACGACTGAAGATAAATCTCCAGAATTTGAAAAGATGAGCATGCTCAGTGTAGACTTATTCAATACAATTATTTGCTACCATACAAAACATGTTTTAAATGTTTGAAAGCAAAGCCATTGTGCATTGTATACTCAGTTGCCAGTCTATTAGGTACACCAAGCAAAAGCTAATACAGTACTCTAATCCAAGAGGCCTGCAATAAATCCCAATTTCATCGAGGTTATAATGTAAATGTTATTTTGTCCATCCCATCAATGAGGTTAGGTTAAACAACAAATACAGCTCTTTGGGGATGCCCCAATCCGATCACAGAGATTCATATTGGAGCCGATTAAGGCATTTTTTAACTGTTATGTATTGGCTATGTTGACCCAATCTGATACGTTATACCTCAGTTGTCACAGAGATGCTTTTTCCTCACGTAGCTTTCATACACAGCAACGCAACAAGTGCAGCCGTCATCAGTTCTCCAACTCCGCTTTGTTGCTCCTCCACCACGGGAGGGGAATGAAAACCACAGGTGGAGAGAGACGACACAAACACACCCACCACACCACTGCAAGTGCAACAAAAGCCCCGAGAGTAAAAAAACCCATAAGAGTAATTCACTAATGTAATCCATGTAAAAGATGAACAGACGAGTAAAATAAACACTCAACAGAAAACAGTTCATTCAGGTAACTCTGCACTGAAACACACTGGGGAGAGGAACTCCCCCTACACAGTGATGAGGCCAAAACTATTACAGAGAGGGTTTGTTATTTTATACTTTCATAATTTGTAAAAAAAATAATAAACATAAACAATGCAGGCAATTACTGTTCTTGCATGGCAGAGCTATTCAGTTGTCAACATACACATTGGATTGATTTTAATAACTTTGATGTACTTGTAACTGTGTTATCTAGGAAAAGTATTGGATCAGGACTCGGTATCGGCAGATACTCAATAATAAATGAGTCAGATCAGGGCTAACAACAGACAGAAAAGAGACATCCCTACATCTCTTTGTATCCATGTATTAGTAATAAACCCTTGATTAATCAAC